GTATAGCTTTCAGTGAGCTACTTTATCCCTTGGGAATGAAGAACTCAAAGGAGGTTTTGAAGATGAAATTGTCCTATTTCTCTCAAGTAAGAAAGATTTTTTTTTCTTGTCTAGTCTCACTATTGGAACTTAATCCACAAACATGACTCTTTCCCAATATTATCTTTTTTTTTTCCTTTTTTTTCCCCCGGAGCTGAGGACCGAACCCAGGGCCTTGCACTTGCTAGACAAGCGCTCTACCACTCAGCTAAATCCCCAACCCCCCAATATTATCTTTTGTTTCATTCTACAAATAACCTACTTTATACTAGATATTAATCTAAGCACTTAAAATGATTAGCAAGCTAAGGAGCTTGATTATTAAAAACAGTTAATCCTCACCTTTTAAAAAAATTAAGACATTTGAATCCTTGAACATGCTCATTTATCACAACCCCCAATAAGGCATCCAGGAATTCTTCATGTAGGACATTAATAATTTTTACAAAAAAATGCAGTTGCTAATGGCATCTTATATCCACACAGTTTTAGAAAACAAAGCAAATGATTACCATCAATTACAATAACCTCACCAGACAAGGCTACAGTTAATATACAGCTCTTCAGCTAGTGACCACTGCAGTGTGCCAAGGAAAACGCAAGGTATTAATTGACTCATCATGATCAGCAATGATCGATGGGGCAGATGGCAATGTGATTACTCACTGTCAACAAAATAAGCACATGCTTTGTTGTAAGAAGTGTCTACTTAGGTCCTTTCAAAGAACAGCCAGAAATAGACACCAAGAGAAGTTTCGAAGGCAGTACAAAAGAAATAGCAAAAGTTAAACTACAGGGTGATAAATATTTGCCTTTCTTGAGGCTAACTCGAATTTAACTGGAAGAAGTTTCTGGAAGAAAGTTATGGACTGTGCAGAGTTTAGTAATTAGAAGGTACAATAAAGCTAATAGTTCCCCCATTGGTTAATATGTGTTCAGGGCTTAATAAATCAAACAATGGGAATTCACTATTTTCAGAAGCAAACTCATTTCATTGATAGATAGCTCCCATTGTTAGAAATGTATTAAGCTGAACGTCTTCTGTTTGCAGCTTCCACTATTGGTCCTTCATGTGGCATAGGTGCTCAACTCTTCTTGTTCATTAGGGCAGGTTAAATATTTCAAAAGCCAACTGTGTGCACCGTGATCTTCATAGGACATTATTTTAGAGCCTTCAAAATGCTGGTCTCTAGCACTGAAACCATACCAGCTTATAGATCATGCAAACTGAGGGGATCGGTGAGAAACGTGATATGTGAGATATAGCTGTATTTATGCTAAGGCTGCTCTGCAGGGGGGAGAGAGTGACAGAGAGAGAGACAGAGACAGAGACAGACACAGAGGGGACAGAGACAGAGAGAGACAGAGAGAGAGAGACAGACAGAAAGAGACAGAGAGGCAGAGAGAGACAGAGAGGCAGAGAGACAGAGACAGACAGAGTCTGAGAGAGAGAACCGGTGTGTGTTCCTATTTCTTGGGAAGTTGTTCCCCAAGTCTCCTGAGTCTATATAGTACCCCAGCTTGCCATTTCCAAGATGCAGTTACTATTAGGTCCCTCTCTTTCTCTTCTTCATAGTAAGGAGGTGTTAAGTTTTCTCTGTTTAGAGAAATAGGATTTCTCGGGAAGAACAGTTCCCATAATTGGCCCAGTGGTTGCTAACCAGTATGTCCTGGAAACTTTTTAAAATATACAGACCAGGAACACACTGCCTGAGATAGAAGTTCATCTGGTCTGGGGAAGGACTGGAGCATCAGTTTGGACAGTGCCTTCCATCCTTGTTACTTATTTGCTACTCTGTTTAAATGTACTCGCTAATGAGCACCCAAGAACAGTTAATAATGTGCCATAGTCAGGTTCACCTGGGAACTTTTTTTTTTTATTTTTATTTTTTCTGAGACAAGGTATTGCCATGTAGCTCAGGCTAACTTCAAACTTATGATCATCCTGCTTCTGCCTCCCTCGTGCTGGTATTGCAGACATCTATCATCATGTCTGTCTTTCTGGGAACTTTTAGATGTAGATTCTTTGAAGCATCTAGTCCCTGTGGTTTGTAATAGGCCTAGGAAAATTAATATGCTAAGAGGTTAGATTATTATGTATCCATTAAGATGCACTCAAAATTATAAGTTGTTAATGTACACGTTACAAATCACTCAACTTAAACATCGAAGTAACAGAAGGAACGGTGTAAAGATTTTAACCTAGTAACTGTCTATATTTTATCCATGTATTTAACGGTGTTTCTACTTTGAAACAGTGCTGCGCTAAGTGCTGAAATATGACTTACAGAGGGAGAAAAAAAAAGCAAACAAATCTGGAAATAATGACCAATGAGAAAGTAAGTCAACAGGTAAATTATCAACAAACCTCAAAATAACATGTATTATCATAAGGGAGAGTTTAATTTATCTTTAAATATTTCCTATTTGACATTGACTTTCCCCAGCGCCTCTAAATTGTGAAGTTTTGGTTATATTTCCTGCCATGCTCTAGTTCAGTGCCTGTAGCTCTGGAGAGGAGTTTTCCGTTACTTGGTTACTTTTAGCAGACATCCTTAATCAGTCCTAGCACATCTCCCCCTAAAGATTTGGAGAGAATCCCACACTGCAGTCAAAGCCCATTGTCTATGCAGTCATTACTAATAGATGATAGATAAAGTACTGCGTGAGATCTACATGCAGTGTCTCAAAACACACAGTGCCCTGACATGCCTGGAGGCCCTTTTCTCATCCTATCCCTCATTTCCTGCTTTATCTTTTCTTTAAAGTCTATCAGTTGAATACTCCTTACATCTGGGATCCCACTAAAATTTCAAAGTGTCTTTGAGAGGTGTCTAAATTGTGCCTTAGAAGGATCACATGGCATCCCGAGACAACACAGTGTGTGTCAAAGCAGGGGCTACAAATTCAGGCCCTTTGACTCCAAAGCTGACATTTTCCAATTATTCTTCATTGCGTCTCTCCAAGCCCAGTTCAAAGGGCACCCTCCTTTGTGAAGCTTCTCCTCACCTCTTCAAGTAAAATGTGTGGTGTCTTTCTTTGAGGCTGCCAGGGCCTTTGTACATCTTCATTTCAGCATGACATTATACTTCAATGATTTGAATATAGTCTCCTTTGAACCCCTTTGGGACAAGAACTCTCCTTTTTCATTTTTAAATCCTTGTATCCCTAGTAATTAATAGGGTCCCTAAGTTGACTCTTAGTCAATGTATTTTGAAGGAACATCAAAATCTGGCTGATAAACTTCTTTAACTTGTGGTCATTTGACAGTATATAGCCTTAGCACATTAAAAAAATGCCAGGTTTAACCATGACCTTAAATAATAAAATAAAGAGACCTTGTATCCCTAGTAATTAATAGGGTCCCTAAGTTGACTCTTAGTCAATGTATTTTGAGGGAACAACAAAATCTGGCTGATAAACTTCTTTAACTTGTGGTCATTTGACAGTATATAGCCTTAGCACATTAAAAAAACAATGCCAGGTTTAACCATGACCTTAAATAATAAAATAAAGAGACCATATAAAATGTACACCCTTGTAATTTTAAAGTATTTTTGACATCAGTCATTGAGACTCTTACTAGGAGCCTACTTATTTGTTACTTATTATAATGAGGACCCCGATCCTTAAGTTATAATTGTTCATAAGAATAAAGAGTGAAGTAGCATGAATCTTAAAGTTCTTATTAATAAAACAAACCCGGGCCACGTATTGGGGTGAAATGCTGGATGGTCAGGGAGACAGAACAAGTCACAGCTAACCTCACCTGTCCAACTTCTCAGTTGGTCTTGCTTCCTCAGACTGGAAGCTTCTGTGTCCTCATCCCAATTGCTCTCAGCTGAACTGTGCTGCTAGAAAGCCTGAAAGCTTAGCCAGCCAAATGCTTAACCAGCCAAATGCTTCTAGTTTCTGGTCCTCACGCCTTATGAACCTTTCTGCTTTCTACCACCACTCCCTGGGATTAAAGGTTTGCTTTCTGAGATTAAAGGCGTGAGTCACCATGCTTGGCTGTATCCTTGAACACATGGATTTCTTACTTTGGAATGCTAGGATTAAAGGCGTGTGCTACCACTGCCTATCCTCTATGTTTAATATTGTGGCTGCTCTGTCTCTGACCCCAGATAAGTTTATTAGCATGCACAATATTTGGGGGAATACAATACCATAGTGAAATAGGCCAAGTGACACATCACAGATGAAATCTGGCTAAATATCATCTTTTATCTCATCTGGAACTATGGTTCATTGCATTACTTTGATTTATTTTTGTCTGGATTGATGGTGGCACATGGTGACACTCACCATCAAGGGTGTGACACAATGAAATTCTTGTTCTGCAAAATTTCAGGCCAACTCTTCAGTTCCTTGACATTGACTTCACAGTGCATTGCATGTTTAGGTGAGTAAGACCCACTGTACCAGAAGAGAAGCTGTGCTGTCATGTAGGATGTATGAGAGGCCAATAGCCCAGAGAGGTGAAAGGGAAGAGGCATAGAAAAGGTGAGGGCTTGAGGGTAAATAATTCTCTAGCTGTTCTCAAGCTGTGGGTCACAAACCCCCAACAAGAGTTGCAGATCAGATATCTACATTACAATTCATAACATTAGCAAAATGACAGGTATGAAGTAGCAACAAAATAATATTATGGTTGTGGGTCACCACAACATGAGGAACTGTATTAAAGGGTCAAAACATTAGGAAGGTTGAGAACCAATGCTCTTGGACATACCAGGGCAGGAGTCCCAAGAGCCCTGCACTTGGGTTTAAGAAGGAAATGCTGTTTCACTGTAGCCTCTCCTGGGAACCTGAAATCCCGCATGCAAAGGACATGTGGAGAAAGGAGGCAGGCTCCTTCTCCTTTCACAGAGCCAAGGGAAGCCCTCCCATCTGTGATTCTACTTCCAATGGAAACAGGCATTGTTTGCACTCAACCTTAGCACATTGGCAGATTCGCATACCTCCCCAGAGAAGGCCTGTCCATTGAGGAGGTGCTCGGACCCTTGGCTGTCCTCACTCCCAAAGTGTAGCCGGATCTCCTCCAGGCGGTGGCTGTATGTCATGGGCCCTCCTGAAATGTTGACCAAGTGCTCCTTGTCCAGGCGGAGGGACACATGCCTTCCAGTGTTGTACATGGTCCCACTGACCTACAAGACAATGGATAACAGGTCAGACAGGGTTTTCCCTTCCATTTCTCCCCAAAGCCCAGAGAGATGCATGGTAGACCTATGCCATTTATATCTGATGGTGACACATCAGGATAAATCCACGTGTGGAAGGGCATGGCGGCCTCTTCAGAGGGCTTTCCTTACACACCCAGCTTCTAAAATACTTCTGGTAATGCATAAATCACAAGATCATTCAGGAACTTGAAGGGAGGAATTTAAGAGATTTTTCACCAACTGTGATGACTATTTTGTATAACGCGCACCTTATAAAAATTAATTTGTCCCTCTCATCATAGTTGTTTGGAAGGTAGAGATGGTATCAAAACTCAAAATCTTGGGTGTAAGAAACTGGAGAAAGCAGTGAGCAGAGGGATCCAAGCGAGAGATGAGAAAACCACTGTGGGTGACCAGGAGCAAGACCCCCTGGGAGACTGATAGACTTTGAAGTCTCAAGCATCCAGTCCAGTTACCTTGGTTAGATCCCTCTCCCATCCCAGGAGCAGACATCACACAGAAAGAGTTCAGGTCCTTACTCAGAGAACATAGCTTCAGAGCTATTGGAAGAGAGGCACATGGGGTCCCATTTCTCACATCCAAGATGTATTTCTCATTCCCAGTCCCATCTTGCTTCAGTTCCTCCCACTACTAAACTTGCTGCTTCCTCTTTCCCCCTCTTTTGCCCCTTTCTTAGGATCGATGCTCAGCTTCTTTTCTGGGCTAGGACCTTAGCACAGCTCTACAAATGACCCTGTGGCATTCCCATCTGGGTGTCTTCCTTACTTTCTTGGGTTAGCTCAGGGAGCTTAAGGGAGACTTTGAAGGAAACTTGATGGGTTGCTTCTGGGTTACTGGATGTTGAATTACTAGGATTTTCATCCTATTTACTCTGACCCTGTAGGCACACATTTTTTTTTCTCAGCAATTCCATAGAGACTTCATGTAACTTTCATCTATCTCTCTATCTGCCAGTTAATCAATCACCAATCATTTACTTATCTATCATCGATCAATCATCTATCACCTATTATCTGGCTGTCTATTTGTCTCCTCAATTAGAGAGAGTGTCTTTTTATGTAGCTCAAGCTGGTCTTAAACTCCCAATCCTCAAGCCTTAAGTTCTGGGACTGTAGCCATGCATGCACCACTCTGCCTGGCTTAATGAAATGTCTCATCATGTCATCAGATCTGGTCTTTGAATGTCTGCCCAGTGGCTTGCCCTTCTACCTTTCTGACCCTTGTCTTGGAAGACATTAGTTTAGTTCTTAGATTTCTCACTATGTCAGACAGTGGCAGCTACCAGTTACTTCGTTAACTTGCTTTTACTATAAATCAGGGTCCATGTGGGGACAGACAGCCAAGGGGAGGAGGGAGTGAGAGAAGCCCGAGTGAGAGTGGGCAAGTGGGCAAACAGATGAGAATCCCCAGAACTCTCTGTTCCTGGGTCTCTCCTAACTCCAGTCCCTTCAGGGCACGTGAACTGCACTTATCAGGAACTTTACATCTAATTGGCAATTTTCTTTTTTTAAGTAAACTGTTCCTTGTAACCAAGTGATGCATGTGAAAGGTTCTCCAGCCTCAAGCACGTGTATGGCTAGTTCCTATGACAAAAGGAGAATATGTTTCTTTTAGGCTCCAGTTCAGGACTTTCTTTGTATGTAATGGTTTAAGGTTTGACATTGCTTCAACCACCAAATAAAATTTATTTTTTTCTAATTATTAAAATAATATACAGGTATTACATGTGGTTCAGAACACAGAAAAGTTAAAGGAAGAACAAAATCATGATTTTAGAATTAACCAACTAGCACTAATATGTTGTATGCATAATGGTACTTGTGAAACATCACTCAATCTCTACTTTCAGATGATCTACTTGGCTCTCACTCTGGACTTTAATGTGCTGGATAAGAGGAACAGACAACACATTCTGAAGACTGGAAAGCAAAACAAAACTAGGAGAATCCAAAAATTGGTTCTCTGTTTCCCCAAGGTCCCCTTCTATACACATGGTTGTATCTTCATCCATCCATCCATCCATCCATCCATCCATCCATCCATCCATCCATCCATTCATTCATTTATGCATTCATTTTCATCCACTCCTTCACTCATCAGCAATTCATTCATCCAGGTTCAGAAATGGTTACATATCACTGGTTGTGCTAGGAGTTTAGGATACTATGAGGAGCTTGCATGGTCTTTGCCTTCACAAAACTCACATTTCCTTCTGCAAGCTCCAGTGTGCAGGGAGCTGGGGGAATATATAACATATACCCTTATGTTGTTACAATTAGATGCAACATCTCCTTATCTCTATCCTTTACCTAGACAATGAAATAGCATTAATTTGTATTAATCATAAAAATATGTGTAGCCAGGGTATGGTTTGTTGCACTTTAATTTAGAAATAAAGGCTTGACAATGTTATGTATGATATCTGAATCTCACAGTACATCTGCACGGTAGTAATTAACACTGCACCACTGTCATTTTATCTCTAACGCTAATTACTGTGTTTCCAGTGAATGGCTTTGGTGCACAGCATGTTGGGAAACGTGTGCTTCTGCAGACCAGGAAACAGGTGAGTGCAGAAGCTGAAGCTGCAGGGGATATCCAGGTTGCCTCTGGCTGCCCCATAGCTCTCTAGCCTTTGTCTGAATTCATTGCAACCCGAAGCAGGAATTGTGTGTGTGTGTGTGTGTGTGTTGCCCATTTTACAAATGAAGGACAACGGTTCAGCGACTTGTCTAGAATCATCACACAGTGGGCAAGAGCAAACTAAGGACCAGTTACCTTGATGTGAGCAAAAGCAACGCTCTCTGCCCATTTCAGATGAAAGTTTGGTGTGGGGTGTCATTTTTTTTCTGCCACTGTAGATAAGGTCTTAGGCAGTTCAGGGGGAGGGGAGGGGAGTAACAGGATTGATTGCTTTTCAAGAACATGGAGGTCCCAGATTGGATGCTAGGCTGCTGTCCATGGTAGGGTGAAGACCAAAGAATACCTTGTTTCTCTAGCTACAGACGTTTATACTGGTTTAAGACTAGTTGGAGCTATATGTATTAAAAGAAGCAGGACATATGTGCCTGTTGAGATTGTATGTCAATAAATAATATCAGTAACTTGACAACATACAAAAATAATGTTTTTTTGTAAACCAAATAAACAAACATAAAAAAGAAATTAAAACAAACAAGCAAAAAAAAACCAACCAAAAAAACCCCCAAAAAACAAACAAACAAACAAAAAACAGAAACAAAAAAACCCCAGCAATCCCGAATCCACCATGTTTCTTTTATAGCACTGGTTGCTTTTGTGGAGTAAGCACAGTTCTGGTAGAGTGGCTAGTGATCTGCCAGGCTTCTTGTTAGTGTGTTCTTTGTCTAGCTCATTCTATGGACAGCCCTCTAAAAAAAAGGAAATGAATTTGGTCAGTGCATTTTTAAGGTAGGAGGAACATTCACTCTTTGAGAGTTGGCCACAATCTGCCACTAGCAGATTGAATCTTTACTTGGTGTCAGAATGGATGCTAAATTCTGAGCCCAGATTTCCCCTTTAAATCCTCACAATTTCTTCCTCAACAAACCCAGCACAACTCTTGGTGGTACTTAGGCCTGTGCCATTTGCTTCTCTTTGGATGGGAAGATGGTCAGGCTAAACCCATATGTGGGATGGCAGCTTCTCATAGGGAAGGCTTCCCTTGCCTCCCTTCTGTGGTCCTTTTGTGTCTTGAGACAAACAGCTGTCTTTGTAGAAGGAGGACCCGACTCCAGGTATCTCTGGCTGTTCAACCTGTTATTTTAACCACTGGTAATGATTAGATTGTTACAATCACTAGTTGATTACTTAGTGATGTGATGTTGCAGTGTTTTCTTCAAGAAGCAGGATGGTAGTGGGGGGACCCTGCACTGGCTTGGAGTTTAGGATGTTTGGGATTTCTTATAGTGTTAGTTAGAGTTCTCCAGAGAAACAGATGTGACTTCTACAGAATCATACAGTTGTCAGGTGACATACTAAGGACCAGTGACCTTGATTTCACTGAAGCTGAAGGTCATAGATTCAACTAGGCTGGCCAGCCAATAACCTTCAGATTCTACTGTTTCCATGCCCTCAACACGGAGGTTACAGGCTTGTGCCACCATCTGAATTTTTTTCAAGGAGTTCTGGGGATCTGAACTCAAGTTCTCATACTCATGTACCAGGTAATTAACTGACTAAGCCATCTCCCCAATCTGGGGTATATTATTTTTTAAATATCAAATTAAAAAATAAACACGTTGAAGATCCTTTGGACACTGTGCTTGCAGGATTGATGTTTATTGTAGGAAGCTAACTTTGAGTGAGCATTACCTTTAGAACATCCAAATTGCTCAGTAGTTACTCACTTGATGTAGCACAAGTCTAATGTGACGTTTTTGTTACTTTTCCTCACAAGGTAGCCCACCTAAAATATCCTATGATAAACTGAAGAATATTTTCAATAGCACAAATGTAAATGTAGGACTACAAACGGAGTCACTAAAGTAAATGGGATTCCTACTGTATAAAAGGAAAAGAAGGCCATGAGATTTGTGCAGGAGATCCATGGCCTCATATCTTTGAGACAGGCTCTTGCTATGTAGGGCAGGCTGGTCTTGAACTCTCAATCTTCCTAACCCTGTCTCCCTAGGGCTGGGATTACAGGCATTGTGCCATCATGTCATGCTCACCTCACTTTTTAGGTCAAGAAACTAGGCACAGCCAGACTAAATAATCACTCAAAAAACAAGGTAGGATGCAAGAGGACCACAATTCTTGCATTACTACAATTCAAGAGACAAAAGCCTTCTAGGATCTCCAAGATCAACTTTCAAAGACACCAGAGAGAGGATGCACTTGACTTCTCAGTGGTTCTGTGGACGTCAGAAACTTACTACCGGAGGTCATTATGCTGAGTGATACAGGAAAGACAAACCTCATATATTCTCCCTCATTGTATGGAA